CCCCAGAGAAGGAGCAAACATGGGAGTGGAGAATGGAGAGATTTCTCATTCACTCCTCAATGCCTTGACTGAGGACACAAAAGGCAAGAATAAATTTTTATTTGTATAATATACTTATGATGCTTTGAATGCTCCTAAAAATAAAGTGCCTTACAATAAGACCCTAGCTACAGTGAGATCAAAATCAACTTGCACAGTATGAAAGGCAAAAATTAAATAGCAATATAAGATCCTGGGGCTGAGGAATGTTAAGCACTTGAATATAAAACTTATTTTTGGGCTTCCTAGAAGCTAAGGCAAAAAGAGAAACATGAATTATGTGCCTCTTACGGTCAAGTAGGATGAGATATTTGTGTGTTCTGCTCCCAGAATTGTGTGTGTCTGGCTAAGGGTTTGGGGAATGCCTTGAGAATGCAGATGACTCTTTATCTAAGGAATGTTGAACATCTCTTAAATAAACAATGTGATTGTTTATTGCAATGGAATTCATTAGAGTTTTTTAAGTGTTCTAAAGACATGCCATACGAGAGCCTTTAATTTCTAAGCTTGCATGAAAACTGATTGACGTTCTGAAGAACTTTGAGGGATATTGAGGGTAGTATGCTTGAAGGATGTGGATTCCAGGAGCTATGGTCTAATGCACAGTCATAACTTTGGGAACCATGTTCATTAAATTTGTAGATGATGGTGGGAGAAATTGATTATTTGTTGGAGTAAAGAAATGGAATTCTCCATAAGATCTCAATGCTCTAGAAGGATGAGCCAAATCTAAAGGGTTGACTCCAAGAAGAGAGGAGTTTAAAGAAAAAAAGAGCTGAAGAAAGGAAGGAGGGAAAGAAGAGTCAATATACAACACACTCAGCTGAAGTCAAGAGTGCAAAATGTCTGGAAATGGACAAACAAACAGAAGGTTTAGCACAATCTTTCTCATTGGCAAGAGTGCAGCTTTTCTGTCCATATCCAGACATTCATCCTGGTTCCCACAATTACTGGTCGTATAACTAGGGGTGTGTTGTGGAACTTTAGTTGCTTGTCTCTCAAATGGGAATTTTAGAAATCAAAAACAGTTTTATAAATAAAATAAATAAACACATATTCTTTACAGAACACTTGAAAAGTGGAGAAAAGCGTGAAGAAAATGGTAATCTCCCATTTCTCTCAAAAACAACATTAAGAGTTTGTTATTTCCTTGCAGGCTGGTGAGATGATTGGTGTCACGCTATGGATGCAACTTTGCCTTTTCATTTTCTTCACTTAATATTATATTATAAGCACTTTCTCACTTTATCGAACCTCTTAATTATAACAATTTTACTGGAATTTATACTTCATTATATGAATATACCTCAGTGACTGGAACCTTACCTTGTGTTAAGCATTCATTTTGTTTCCTTTTAGAAAAATTATTAGTAAAGCATATTGCACATGCCTTTATGCATTTGGTGTCATAGTCCAGACTCTTTCCTCAGGATGGCGCCTTCAAGGTGAGAATACTGATTCAATGCAATAACATTTAAAAACTGTTTTTGAAAATTGCTGACTTTCTCTCCAGAAAGGATATGCCCCTTTAGCATCAGATAACTAAAATCAAGAGGACTACTTCTACTTCGAAAGTACTGAGTATCAGTCACTGGCATTGACAGAGCCTCAGTAAATGTCCAGCATTCACGTCAATACAGAGTTATACAGCGCCCAGGGCGCTGCTATGCCCCAGGCATCAGTGAAGAACAAAACCCCATCGGTCCCTGCCCACGCGGAGCTTAGAGCCCATGGATGAGACAGAAATTACCAAGTGAACACAGAGGCAAACACATCAGCAAAGAGATGGTGAGATCTCTGGTTATAGATAGTAGTTCTCTTCCTTGAGCCTGACTTGTCCCCTGAGTGTTTAATTCACAGAGATCAAATATTTGGGGTAGAGGGTGTGCTGGGCATCTTAACTTACCCTGCATAAAGAGAGAGGCAGGCAGGTGTGTGCTCCTGATGCCGCTCCCAGAAAAGGAATTAAGATTCTCAAAGAACAATGGTTTTGGAAACTTCTAGATGAGAATCTTCCTACCATGAAGCCAGCCATCTTCCAACCCTCCTACTCTTCATAAAGCTGTGACAAACAGATGACAGTACAGAGGCAGAAGCATTTAGGAAAGGAAAGAAAAATTTGACTTGCAAAGCAAGCAGGGAGTCAGACTTTAAAAGGATTGGCTTGCCAGATGCAAACACAACAAATATTCAAAGGACAAAACTGCAAGTTAGCAAGGATATTAAGGTAAAATTATTCTGTTTATGGTGTAAAACAACAACATCCTTACATGGTTATCATATTTGCAAAGGTCATGACATATCTTCAGACATCAACACAGCAAAAATATATTTGTTTGGGGGTCCAAAACCAGTCAGGGGGATCCCATTAGTTTTGCTTTAACTCAGGGTGCAAAGTATTTCTCCCCCTTACTGTGGCACGTGAAGTTCTTAATCATTGGAAGGTCAGTTTCCATTTCTGGGGTAGATGTGGTATGGTGTGTGTCTGTAGTTTGGATGTGTAGTTTTGGCTACCACATAAACTTGCCCTGAAATCCTTTCCTACCGATCCCTGCAGAGGAAAGAAAACCAAATGAAGAGATTCTAAAATAAATTGAAAGATAAGATTCTTTTTCTGTATGTGTTCAACAATCACCTATTAAAACCTTCTGTATCCTAGTCATGATGGACAGGAGTTGGCATTTAAGGTTGGGACCATTTACAGAGCAGAGGGCAGAATTAAGGGTGCCTATAGGGATGGTGAGGCACTCAGGGACTAGCAGTGGTCAAAGCTGTTTCCACCCTTGGGCCTGAAGTGACAAGATGAGGGAACTTTGTTATTGGAGCCAGCAAAACCTGGAGCCATGGAGGATGGGCCACCCAACCAGAACTGTGGTGGTAGAGGGAGGATGGGTAGTGGTTGTGTGTGTGTGTGGTAAACACCCTACCTCTCTTTATGCTACCCTTTATTCTCCTCCAAGTAGCTCTCGTTGGCCAAATGCAACCAGAAGCAACAGGGTGAGGGAGTCTGGCTGATGCAGTCCTACGTGACCAGCCTGCCATGGGGCAGAGCAGGGTGGAGAGTGGATCTGGGTGGCAGACCTAGAATAATCAACAAAACGTTCCCTTTGTGAACCACCAAGAGGAAGAACAGTCTCTGAAAGTGATGGAAACCGAGTGTCCGGAGAGGTAGGAAGAGAATCTGGGTAGAATAGTATAACAGATGCCATGGGTGAGGAATTTCAAGAACAAGTGTGTAGCTAACAGCCTTAAATGCAACAGAGATCAAGTCAAAAGCAGCAACTGGATTCAGTAATTTGGGACTTATTGGTGACCTTCATTAGAGCCGTCAGAGAGAGTAAGATGGAAACTAGATAGGCTGTGGTAAAAGAGGGGAACAAGTGCAGATATTGGAGATAAGGGAATAACTTCTGGAGCAAGTCCCAGAAGAAGCAGGAGGCACTGAGACCATTAGCTTTGCAGAGAAGAAGGGACATGTCCACAGAGGCATAAGGGAATGTGTTATGGATGTATGGCTAGGCAGAGAATGTTATAGGTCCATAGGTAGTGAGAATGATGATGAGTTGCCTCCAGGAAACTTCTGTCATTTTTTCTGTGAAGTTGGAGGCCGGTCATCTACTGAAGTAGGAGTTTGCAGGAGAGAGGACCAGGGAATTTTGCATTAGTCTTGTTGGGACTAGAAAGAGGAGCTGACTCATAGGACTGAGGACAGTGTTGGGGTTGATAATGCCACTCTATCCCTATGTGGTAACAGTCAGCAGAATTTTGTGATCTTCTTTAGTCATGTTCAGCCTGGAATAGAGATGTTGGCTATTAAGAGGGTAACAGGGTGGGCATAATGTCATGGAGCCAAGGATGGTGACAATATTGGCAAAAGATTAATGGAAGAGATGGCCCACAGGTCTCCGTTGGACAGGTCAGGGAGTAAAGCTGGAAGGGAGCTTATCTAAGAGAACTGGAGACATCGAGGTGGTCTTGAAAATGTGGAAGAAGAATACTATTCATGATTATTGCTAACATTTATGGAGAACTTACTAGGGGCCAGACACATTTACTTCTTACAACCATCTCAAGAGTTGTGCCCCATAGTTATTTTTAGAGATGAAGAGATTCAAGCAGAAAGCTTCAACACATTGCTCAGGATCATACCACTGGTCACTGGAAGATTATGGACCAGAAACTAGACATTTTGACACCAGAGGCTGTGCTATTGACAATCAGGCAAGGGATTAAGGGAGTAGAGATATTCAAGGTCTCAGAATGGTATGCTGCGGCTTAAGATTTCAGTGCTGTCTTGAACAGATATTTGTACACCAATGTTCTCAGCAGCATTGTCCACAACAGTCAAAAGGTGGAAACAACCCAAGTGTCCATGAACACATGAATGGATGAACAAAAGGTAGTATACACTCACAATGGAATATTATTCAGTCATAAAAAGGAATGCAATTTTGATATTTACTACCACATGGATGGACCCTGAAAACCTTATGGTTGGTGAAATAAGCCAGACACAGAGGACAAATATTGTGTGATTTTAGTTATATGAGTTACCTAGAATAGGCAAATTCATAAAGACGCAAAGCAGGATAGAAGTTACTAGGGGCTGAGAGGAGGAGATAACGGGGAGTCACTGTTTAACAGGTACAGAGGTTGTGTTGGGGATGATAAAAAAGTTTTGGGTATAGATACAGTTGATGGTTACACAACATTGCCAATGTATTTAATATCACTGAAGTGTACACTTACACATGGCTAAAATTATAAACATTATGGTAATGTATATTTTACCACAATTTTAAAAAAAGATTTCAATGATGAACTACTTCTAGGTGATTACAAGAATGAAAATTGTTGTAAGAGTGAGTTTGTGAATTTAGACTGGAGGTAAAGATGGTTGGGGTTGAGGAGATGAAAGAAGGGTGAGGCCAGGAGCTGAATGGGTCATCCTGCGGGAAGCACTGTGTCCTGACTTTTATCTATCCTTAGGAGGCAGTGCCTGTGCCATTAGCAGGCCCAATGCATTGAATACATGGAGGATGCAAACCAAACTGGGATGATTCACTTCCACTTCCGCCCCTTCTCCAAACTCCCCGACGTGCAGATGCTGATCTTCGTGACCTTCCTGATTATGTACCTGGTCAGCATCAGCGGCAACGTCTCCATTTCTCTCATCATCTGGATCAACCATTCTCTCCACACCCCCATGTACTTCTTCCTGGCCAACTTGGCAGCTCTGGAGGTCTGCTACTCTTCCACCATTGCCCCTCTGACTCTGGCCAGCATCCTGTCCCCAGAGAGAACCCTCATCTCCCTGCCTGGCTGTGGCACCCAGATGTTCTTCTTCATCTTCCTGGGTAGCGCTGACTGCATTCTGCT